CCCTCCTGCTTTCTATTATATATATATATACATATATAAAGCATGCAATGCTATCATTTAGTTACATCCATTATTTAGAAAATATTCCTATATTCCTAAATAATGGCCAAAATTGATCAAATATATTTTTTGAAGAATAGAACAATTTTGAAAATAACGCTTTAAGATGGAGAAGAATATTTTGATCTATTTATGCATATTTTGGTCATTTGCTTTTGCATGGCAGCCTAGTATAGTCAGGTGGCCATATTAATGTGCATACAAACAAATCAATTACGTTGTGCTACCAGGTAAGCTTCCGATATCGGATAAGCTCACCATTCACACAGTAGTGAGGAGGAATGTCTCTAGAACCAAACCAACGACCATAGCGACTAACAAAAAACAAAATGGTGAAAAAAACCACAATAATTGTCACTGTAGTAAGTTGGCATACTGTACTTGCTCCGTACATTTCCATACTCATACAATGGCCGACTGTGAGCTGTATAGAACTGTTTTCTTGTGAATGTTTTATTATCATCAAAGTAGGTACATATTATATCCATGTAGAAAATGTAATGGATTCTCGATTGTTTACTGAATAGGGTGAGCAATTTAAAGAGGCACTTGGGTAAGTGTGTAATCAAAGAGAGACAAGCGAGATGGTTGACAAATTGGTAAATAAAGAACAAAATATCAGTGAACAAGGACATTGTGATGAGTGTCAACACACTACCGGAACACAGTACCCAGTAATCATTCACAGAATAGATCTCAATGCAGTCTAATGATTTTTCAAAATGCCGGAGAAAAATTAATGATATCAGAGGTACATTACTTGGGGTTTGCAACGCGCATAGTACTGTATGGTGACATCATGTCAAGATCCCATTCAAGTCTCATCTCGTAGATAGCGAGACTGGTGCTACGACCTTCTGACATGAGATAGGCGGTTTGTAATAAAATAATAAAACATGTATTACCACATTCATAGTGAAAAAATGTAATACATCGAAAATGTAAAGAAAATATAGTTATCGTAATCCGTCATATCGTGAGCAGCTATTTTGATCCACCTGGACATTCCAGTATCCTAGTTACCTCGGGCATGCGCATTCGAATTTTTCTGAGTTGGAACGCTTATGCGAGAGCGAGATTGAAACGGGATCTTGGTATCATGTCACCGTAGTTGCAAACCCCAAGTAATGTACCTCTGATGATATATATATATATATATATACTATAAATACTATGATAAAGTTCATATCAAAGGCACCCCAAAAGCACAATGAAACTACTAAAGCACATTCCAGGACAACACAAATTATAATCCTAGAATAAATGTCAGAACCATTCAGCAATATCAAAAAAATAAGTGAAACAACGTACATACAACTGGATGTATGTACATGTAAAGAACCAGGGCATAGTCCACATGTATGTCTTCATGGGATGAAGATTTATTGCCACTATTGTGGTCAACTCGGTCACAAAGCTGAATTGTGTAAGCGCCACATGGACTAAAGAGTTTGCCAAGGCGAACAGTATCAAGAAATAAATGTCTCTTTAACGCGTCCAGATGTTGAACTAAATAATGCGTTTAGTGTAAACTTTTGTGATACAAACAATGAGAAGTGTGTACAGGTGTATGTACACAGCATAAACATGATAAAGATACATCATATGATTCTTTAGATAGAGATGAATGTAGGAATTCTCATATTGCCAAACGAAAGAAAGACCAAAAATTAAGGCATGAAAGCATAACAAAAAGAATAGGTATATAACATTTGTGGGTATTGTTCGGGCAGTTACTTAAATTTTCGAGTTTTCAAACTGAATCTTTGAAAGTGAAGTCCTCACTTGCTAAATATTTGTATTTTAGGAGGTTCCGAAAAAAGACAAAAATACACCATTCCTGAAACAAGACAAGTGGTCTGGGAAATATCATAAATGTCAAAAAACTGGTACTGAGAAAGTTTCAGAATGTTCCGGTCAAAAATATAATATATCTGGAGGACTGATTTAACCACAGGTAAAAAAGTCTTTTAAAAATAATGCCAAGTGCTGGTTTACTAATGAGATAAAAAAAATCATGTCGGGAACATAGACAGTAGATTACAAACAATGATTCATGTAGTTATGAAAGTCATAAATTGTGGCAAAAATAACTTAATGATAAATATAATAAAACAATAATCTAAATAATTGGAAATTTGGAAAGCAGGTGGTAAATACTGTTCAATCTTAAAATGCAAAATTAATGATCATATGCAACTGTTGCTGTAAAATAATATTGAATGACAAACATCTCAGGGTGATTTAACATTACGTACAGTCACTTCGTGACATTCTCATGAATTAGTTTTCGTGTATCTGTTGGCCGACTTGGTTAGCTGGTTGCTAGTGAATGGATGTGTTATATCTGTCATCATTTAGGCTCATGCGAGGTCCTGACCGGAACTTGATTCTGTGATTTGGAACTAATTACGATATAACCGTCGCCATCCGGACTACTATTTCTGACGTTTGGTATGCGTAGTTTATTAATATAGCGGACGATTAATCAGTAGGTATGACGTGTCCACTACTTAGTGTGATTGGCTGTGTGCGAGTCGAATATGTGGAGGCTACGCCTTATAGACTTTTTTTTTCGTTGTGTGTGTGTCTATTTGACTGTAAGGTTTAAGTGACTTTCCCGATCCCGTACCTCAAGCAGACGTGATAGAGAAGCGATGACGAATTTCCCCCATGACAACATTATTACAGTATATTTATTTCAAAACGAGGGCTTGGAACAGGAATGTGTGTTAGCCCTCTTGCTTGTATTAATGAACTTAAAAGTTACTCAATAATGAAAAAAAACAAAACATGTTTCCACTTATGAGGACAATACTTGGTAATCATGGCAGTGTAATTAGAGTAGAGTATGGTATGTCACGCTTGCATAATGTTGTAAGACCAGCAATTGTATATGCCGAGGAAATTTTAACACTAAGCATCACTGATATGGAGATAAGTCTTACAATGCATACTCATTTTATGGGTAAATTTATGCAAGTATACATATTGAGTAAGAAGCAGTACAGTGATCACAGTCTTATTGCAATGGAAAACGAATTTCAAATTATAAAACTTAATATTACAAAAAAATAATAATTTAATTAAGGTAAACAATCCACAACAAAGTGACAGCAAGGTGTGGGATTTGGTAAAACAAATGAATATCATCTACATAATCAAAGATTAAAAACTAAACGCATCATACTATAAAAACGTTCTGGAATATATTGTCACGGAAACTTTATATGATATTTAAACCTACTTAAAGAATTCGGAAAATTATCCAAAAGGCTTGAACGACTCTATAGGAGCACAGTTTAGGTCTAAAGCAAGATAATATACCCTAAGTCTGGCATACGAAAAAAGAAAATTCAGTTTCTAGCCAGAGAGAAATTATGTTGACTAAAATTAAACACACCTTACAAAGTAATAATGAATCGAACACGTGGAAACATGTTTCACAGGGCAATTATCTACTAAATTATGTCTTGGGTGACACTAGCCAGGGTTATATAAATATCTGAGTTGTCTCTACATATCTACATCACCAAATACTACTTTGTGGTAGTCACTATTGTTCTAATCTTTTTGTTGAGAATTAATTTTTTCCTACTGGAGCCTTGACCCCAAGCAGGCCGATAACTACGGTTAGAATCAGAGTTGATGGAATTTAACTATAGGATAAAACATCCAAATTGACAATAATAAACCCCAAAGCACTGAAATAAACATGCACATGTGGTATTCAGTTTGATTTCTAAATAGTTTATAAGTTTGGTACTGCTTGTAATATGTTGATTATAGTGACTTGCTGAAGCACCCTGTTGCCATGGAAGTGTTAAAAATCTTAAATTTTACATTCCTGTTACGCAAACATGCCCCAAAACACACATATATTAGTCCGTTATAAAATTAGGTTTGTTTAAAACAAATTGCCAACCCTTTTTCCGCTCTTTTGACCATGTCATGCATATCAATGTATTTGTACATCATGGTTTATTACTTTACTCGTAATCTGTGACTTATGGATTCGAATTTAGCTAAATGATATTCATGTCATACTATTGCATTATTTAATAATCTAGCGTGTGTCACTTTTGAAATATGAATATATATGATGAGTAGTTTGTAAAATATATATAACTCCAATCTCAAATTATGTTATACGAACCTCGTCTGTTCTACTAATTATTGAATCGAATGGAAACAAGTTTGGCATGTGAACATATGTTGCGATATGATATAATGAATGCCGTCTGAGTTGTATTTGAATATATATATCTGGTGTAGTATAGAGCAAGACTACAATATTTGAATTGTATTGCTTATGATTGTAATACACCTTATAACAAATTGCACAGCAATTTCAGATCACGCTCTCATTAATTATTCGAACTTATTTTTTGTTTAAGTAAAAGAGCAGTGTCACTCTCTTACAAGTTTTGTGTTTGGGTTTTTAACTTGACATAAATACGCATTAGATTTCGATTCTTATATGTCGTTTGATCTATAATATATACCGCAACATATACATAGTTCTGAAACTTGTGTCAAGCGTTCACGATTGTGCAATACGTTCATTAATCAAACATCAATAGTTGTATGATAAGTCTCCCTAAAATATATATTTTCAGTGTACTTGGACACAGACGTGTCAGGAGTGGGAATATTGACAATCAGAGGGAGGAGTTGGCCGCATGAATAACAATGTTACTTTGTTGACTCACACATTCGAGTAGATAAATACGTACATATACTATCTATTACTGAGCAGTAATTACTAGTATATGAACACACTTACAATCATTGGCACAAAACACAGGCACAGTTCATTTCAGTTTTTATACGTTTTAATGTGTTGGTATAATAATGTATTATAATCAGAGATAAACTAGGTAAATAAATTGATACCATTGGAAATATAAACGACATAGTCGAATTATCGGCTCTGAAAACAGAAAGAGACACAAAAACAGAATTAGTTACATCTACGTGAAAAATAAAGTTTTCGACAAAAATGAATACATGGCACTATATGTGTACAATTAAAATACAAGTTGTTCGTAAAGTTTGAAGTTTGAATTCGGCTTGCAAATTTTCCACTAGTCTTGAACAGTGTAAAGTAAGTGTAAAGTAGTGTCGGCTTATATTGGTAACGAGCTTACTGTGATCACAAACTCTGAATTCGAGTTGTATGTTTGTACTATACGTGTTCGTTTGTTTGTCATAAGACCAATATTTCATTCAACTGAAAGGTGAAGTACTAGCTAAAGTTTATTTCATGGTTGTAGATTATTATTCGCGTTAAGCCAGTATATCATACACTTTGATGTGCTGACATGGAATACATGTTTTTATTCGAAATATCGAGATTTGATAATTTTGTGATTAGTGTTCAGTATATTGGTTACTGTTTGGTATATTCAATTGTTGCATCTACATTTGCATGAAATCACAATCACCTTTCATTCGACTTGTTATATTCTATTTTTTCGTTGTTAACTACAATCGCTTACCCGTTAAACGCAATTCTTTTAATCACAATACAACAGGAGATTAGGGGATCCAAATCCTGGATTACCGACCACTCCCTCAGTTGCA